CCTATTCTACAAAGTTTGAGGACTTCATATCTGAAAGGAGTGATGATGATGGTCTGGACACATTTTATTGTGAAATTTTGAAGGATGATAGGCAACTGCAAGATCTATGGTCTATTATCAAAATTTCTCTTTCTTTCTCACATGGGAATGCAAGTGTTGAGAGTGGTTTCTCGGTTAACAAATCACTGTTGAGTGAAAATCTTAAGGAAGAAAGTTTAGTTGCTCAACGCTTAGTTTATGATGGGATCCATTTTGCAGGAGGTATTGATCAAATAAATATAGACCAGAAAATGTTGTTAACAGTCAGAGGATCTAGACAGCGATATATTGAATCTCTGCAACAGAAAAAAGATATTCAGAAGCAGCAGACATTGAGGGCTGAAGAAAAAAGAAAACTTACACAACAACTTAAGGATTTAAAACAACACAAGAAAATGTTAAGAAAAGATCACGAAAAGGAAGAAAAAGAGATTGAAATGAAAATAAATACACTTGAGGAGAAAAGGCTAAAACTACATTAATATAATAGTTTTTGTGTTTTGTGAATTGTAATTCATTTTTTATTTTCTAATTATCTGTATTTTGAAAAAAGAGGATTAATACTAAGAAGTTTCTCTGTATTTTGATTGTCCATTTTGTAAAAAAATAAAAAGATTTTACAATAAATTAGATGCATTTGTTAGAGAAGCTATAGTATAAACTTACACCTATTTCTCTTTATGTACAATCATTGATTTTTTTATGTAGGAAAAATGCTTTATTTAAAAATTTTTAAATTTAACTTTTTGTTAAAATTAAGTTGCTGTTTAAAAAAAGTTACTCTTTTTGTTGAAATATTGATTTTAAAATTATGTGTTTCTAAGTCAAGAGTTCATTTTAAGCACAGTACAGTACTATTTGTTTATCAAAGAATACTGTTTGTTGATTTTATGTTACCTTGTATTTACTAGATTTACATACAAATAATAATGATAAATGATGATAAAATAAAAAGCTTGTGTTTTGTTTGTAAATTGCTTATTTTATCATTACATTGAAGTTGTGGATTCTATCAAACATTTTTCTACAGGATGTATGTACTGTATTTTTTTAATGTGGCAGTCTTTGAAGCATATTAACTGTGCAAAAGGAGGACTAAATGTACTCAATGTTCACAGTAAATGCTGTTTTATTATGTCGATATTCCACATTAAAAAATGTGAGGGTCAGGGAATTTGGACAAAGTTGGTCAGGGAAAGTCAGGGAATTCAAAACAAAAATTTGAGTAGGAACCCTGTAGATAATTATAATATATTAGTATCCCTTGTACAACACAGTACTTCTACAACATTGTTTTGCTCTAACATGGTTTAGGAAATCCTCCATACAAAATTTTACAATTTTTAAGTGTAAACTCTATTATTCTATATTTTTTTCATTCGAGCAAGCATGCGTGTTGTCTCAAATTTGCCCATGGATTTTAGAATATTGAAATTTTAAAGTTATTTTTGGGAAATTAATTTATTTTTTAAATAATTTGAAAGGGGCATTAAAAAATATTTATTTATTTTCAATTAAATGTGTTTTTTTTTTTTTTTAAGGAATACTTTGAACAAAGTTCTATAAAGCAAGAAGAAAAGATATCATTTAAAAATGGTGCAGATTCTATGGAAATAATTCAACAAAAACCATCAAAGAAAAAAACTGCTGCAGGTCAAGAAGTAATTATGGCAACAAAACGAAAACGTATCTGGGTTGCTTTAGCAAAAAAAGAAGTCTGTAGGGTAATTACAAATTCATTTAATTTTTTATATTAAAAAAATAAGAATATTGAAATATAAAATTAATATCTTTTAGGCACAAAAACAAAAAGTTGCTGCTCATAAAGAAATGTTAACTACTGCAAAAAGGGTAAATATTACAGTTTAAATTCAGTTTATCATATTATAAATGTTGTTTTATTGATTACAAATAGTATTTTTCTTAACCATTATTCTGTTACTTTGTAAACTTTTTGTTCTGTAAGTAAATTTATTGTACTTTTTATTTCTGCAATTATGGGCTTTAGTAATATTTTACTTAGATTAATTTATTTAAATAATATTTTTTATTTTTTCAAAAACATGAGATAATGAATTATAACTGTAGACAGGAAACATATTTATATATTCAATTGTTTGCAGTATATAAAATTTTTATCATAAGAATAACACATTGATAGAAATGAATGCAAAATGGAAAAAAGAAACTTATTACTTACAATAATAAATAAATTTATATAACTGATTTTATAATTTTTTCTGTTATAAAATCAGAATTATAGTTACTATTTGTAATTATTTTTGCACATTTATCTTACTTAAAAATATGTTAGCTTGTTCACGCATGCCAAAGAGAATGCAGAAAAGGAGCACTCTTATCTCAAAAAGTGATGAAGGATACACCTAGTAGAGCAAGAAGATTGACTAAAGAAATGCTTTTATATTGGAAACGATATGAAAAAGTAGAAAAAGAACATAGAAAACGAGCTGAAAAGGAAGCACAAGAACAATTAAGAATGGATATAGAATTAAGAGAGGTAAATTTAAATTGCTCATTAACATTTAATGACCCAAAACAATATTTTAGTCCATTTGTATATTTTTTCCTCTACATATATGAGTATTTATGCTAATTGATTTCATGGTTATTATTGTGAAACTGTATAAAAAATCTGTATTTTTAAAATGTTATTTTTGTAGACTAGGATTAGTGAATTTGTTTGGGAATGCATAACAAAACTATATTTAAATTAGTTAATGTTTCAGTTAAGTTTAACTAATAAAAATTATTTTTTCCATATATTTAATAGTTGTCTTATGTCTTTGTGAATATATCAGGGGTAAACATGCTAAGTATAAAGAATTTATAAATTTTGTTGTAGTTTGAAAAGTAAAACATTAACTGCAAAATAAAAACAGTAACATTTTATTATAATGGTCAAAATTAATATAATAAACTATGGTTATTGGTTTAAAAATATTAAAACAAACAAACATTCCAACATGGTGATATATTATTCTTTCTGCTATTAATTATATATATCTAACTATTAGATAAATGCAATTTAAAAAATTTTTTGGTTAATTAAAGTCAAAATATATAGTAAAATTAATGATGATAAGTTAAAGAAATGTAAGGAAAAAATAAAGTAATATGTCAACAAAAATACTATATCATAAATTCAATTACATAAATTACAAAAATTATACATGTAACATTAAATATCTTAACTATTCTATTATAAATTTCTATTAATTGGAGGAAAGATAATTAATTTGACTAAAAGTACATTATCTTTGTGATCAGAGAGAGATTGGATTATTATTATTGTTTGTTTATTTATTATTTTTTTAATTGATCGTTATTACACTTTCTAAGAGTAAAATGATATTTGCAGGTGTAGTTATAGCATTAGTAATGTTGTTACATTACTATTACTATTTTTTAATTTTCAATATTATGATGTTAAGTTATATATGTGGAATAGATAAGTGATTCTTATGTAGTTTTGATGTATTCTTTTTTATACATTTAATATTGAATTAATATAACTTGAATTATAAAATTCAAATAATAATAATTTCATTTATAAAATTTATAGAAATTATAAATCTAAATTTATATAGAGTTGTCAGAGAAATTAAATATTTAATTTCACAAGAATACTTAATAATTCAGCAAATATAATAATAGATTTAAAATAAATATATATATTTTTTGTTATTACAGGCTAAAAGACAACAAAGAAAGCTGAATTTCCTTATAACTCAAACAGAATTGTATGCACATTTCATGAGCCATAAAATGGGTAGTTTACAAGATTTCTCCAAAGAGAACATTCTAAGCAGATTGGATGAAGTAAAAACTGATATTGTTGATCAAAGAAAATGTGTTCTTGAAGTAGATGATGATCAGTATGGTAAGTTACTAATTCATTTAATTAATTAAAAGTTAAATTTTCAGTTTAATTTTTACTGTTTGGTATTAATAAACAACTTTATCTTAATTTATTTTCATAAATAATAATTTTAAAATACTTGCTACTATTTTTTATTTTTCTTGAGAATGTATCAACTACAGTAGAATTTGGTTAAGAAGTTTTCAACAGACCAATTTAAAAATCTTAAGAAATTAAAATAATATAGCTTTTCTTTTAATAATTTGTATTTATTTAACATTGTCCCCACTACATTAGGCTTACACTTATATTTATTTTGATATTTGTCTAATATAGCCTCCTTAATGTTTTCTTATATTAAAAATTTTCTATGATTCTCACAAGCAAAATCACAGATCTACAAATACCATACTAATATGCATTGAAAACACACTTCAATATGCGGGTGATAGTGTGTCAGAACCTGCTGTTTGTTGCAAACATTGTCATCAGATAACCCTGTAAGAAAATTGTAAATTCAAGTAGCCCAACATCATGCATGCAATGACACAAAATCTTTTGCATTTCTTAATGTAATTTGTTTTTCTTTTCATGTGCATTTAAATATGTAAAATTTTTGATAGGATGCAATTGAAAAACTTAAAGTGAATTCATATTCTAGTCATGGACAAGGATTTCCATCTACTTAAATAGGAACATTTTATATGGGGAAAAATTAGTATTTTTGAAATTAAACTTCTTACATGGTAAACTTTGAATGCAGAAACTTTTTAAGTTCTGCTGTATTATGAAAACTACCACAACTGTAAGTTTATTAAATTGAATTGAGATGATTTAAAAACAGGCTTTACAAATTAGAAATATTATTAGCTATCATTACCATTAATTTAGTAAAAAAGATTTTAATACTGTAATACTACAATTTTTATTAATTTTTAGAATTAGAACTTTTTTTTTTGTATTTTTTTTATTGAAGACTTTATCTTCCATGCACTGATAATGTATGAAATATAACATGTTTATTAATAAATAAAAATAATTGAATTAAAGAATATGTAACATTTTTTAACAAAATAAATATCTACAACATATATAACAAATGAAAATAAAACAAAATACTTGAAATGGATTTTTTCAACTACATAAATTATAGAAAATAACATTAAATCTTCCAAACAGGATTTAGCATGTTATATTATAATATCATTTTTGATTTTATGTTATAATTTTCAAAGCATGAACTGTCTTCTAGATACAATAATATAAAATTATGAAAATTTATCATTTGTTCTTACTATACCAAGAACATATATAATGAAAACAAAATAACATATTTTAATTTTTTTATATTAATAGATTGACTCCAAATTTAAACATATTTTTTCTGTATTCTGATGATGTAAAATTTTATTTATTTATTTATTTTGAGGAAAACAAAAGTATATGTCTTGTTTTGAAATTTTAAAAAAATTTAATTTTCATTTATATAATCTGATTTTACACTTTTATAATATCACAATTTATGTTGTTATTTTTATCTTAGATAGTAATGAAATGAAAAATTTGGCTTTAAAAAATGCTGAAAATGCATATAGAGAACACCAAGCACATGTAAGTATTTTTAAAGTATGGTCAGCTATTAAATTAATACAGTTGATTCTGCTTAATTGGGCAGCTGTTTTATTGGGCCAAATCTCAAAGAACAAAAACCAGACTAATAAACTAATATGTCTTTTAAATGCTTAATTGGGACAGGAAGGATTAGTCCCAATGTGACCCAATTAAGGGAATTGACTGTATTTAAACTCAAAGTATTTTGGAAATTCTTCATTTTAAAAATACTTAAATCAGAAATTATCCAAAAAATTTATTATTATGGAAAAAAGTGTTTTTATTAAAAATAATAAAAATAGTGTATAACACTGAGAATTTTATGCAAGATAAGGAATTTTGTAATATAAAAGTCTCCGCTTAGGAAAAAAATCAAAATTTGTTAAAAACTAGGTCAAAAAAGATTAAATATATTTAAAAGCAAAATTTTCTTTTTCAGACAAAAGCTTTTGATAATGAAATAAATTCATTAAGAAATAAGAAGCAATATAGTAACCGTCATGAATGTGAGTATATGAAACTTTTAAATAGTTTTATCAATATTTCAATTTAAAGCAAAGAAATTGAAAAATAATGTATATATCAAAATCTGTACTGATCACCAACACAACTGATTATATTTTTAAGATTTGCAAATGTTTTTTCCTCCAGTAATACATACTACAGTAGAACCTCGAAAACTCGGCCTAATGTGGACCGAAGGGTGGCCGAGTTTGTGAAAATGCCGAGTTATCGGGAATGGGGTAAAAAAAATAAGTACGAGTGTTTCCTCAGAAAATACTGTACTGTACTTATATACTGTACTTATATGTATTGTTTACTTGAGAATATAACATAGAATAAACTGCCCAAATACCCATAAACAAAGGAAAAGCACGTCCTTTATGAAGGCATAGAGCCTTTACTACATGAAAATGAAAATTAATGAATACACTGTGTACAGTAATTTACCTGATAACACAGACCTCAGAAAAATACTTTATGAGAGCTTTTATACTTTTATAAAGCTGTCTATAATGAAAATTAATTAACTAAGGATTTTTTTGCCCTGCCAGGGTGTGGCCGAGTTATCCGGAGTGCCGGGTTATCGAGAGCCGAGTTTTCGAGGTTCTACTGTATCTTTAAAAGCTTCATTATAGCAGTCATAAATACTTTACATTTGGAAGGAATCTTTTAATTTTTATAATAATCAATCTCCTTTTAAATGTAAGAGATTCTTTTGATTTTTGTATTTCATTAAGAGTCTAGTCTCAAATGATAGCTTGAGTGCAAATTTTCCTTATTTTTATTATTCAGTTCTATTGTGCTTTGATAAAAAGGTATTAACACAAAAAGTACAATGGAACAATTTGGAATAAGGGAATTTTCAACTTTCCATGGTGTTTTTCCTCATGGTAAGCAACTTTGTCCATTCTTGTTGACTGTCTTTTGGTTTTCATTATGATGTAATGCTTTGTCTCCTTAACAAAGAGAATGAAAGTCTTTGTTTTGGAGTTAGTGACTTCAAAATGGGAACTTTCATTACATTCCCATTTTTTCCAACAAACTAAATTGAAACTGTTTTCAATTAGACTTTGTCCAATCATAGTGTAAACAGTTTGATTCTTTCCAACAAAGCATTGCTTTTATGACTAATTTTATGTTGGTAAATATTTATAAAGTCCAGGGACTTTTTCATGAGAATATATTCCATTTATACACTATGGAGTTAGTGATTTGCTTATTCTATAAGTGTAAACTTACAGAGTATACAAGTGAGAACAAAAATTTTTTGTGATAACTGTTTAAAACTCACAAATACTTCATATATTTTTTACATATTAGTTTCTTTTTATTGGATTTTTGGATTTGGTCTATCCTTTTCTTCTTTCAAATTTGCATAATAAAATATTTTGCTATTTTAATTTGTAATATGTTTCTTGCAAATATCAAATATGGTAGCTGTTTTATATATTTCCATAAATGTCTGTCTCTTTAATCTGAATAAAAATAATTTTGGTAGACTATCACACAGCCATCAGGTTAGGTACTTCTTTTATTATTTCCATATGCATTTTGGGCTTATTTAATTTCTAAGCCCTTCTTCAGTGCAATTCTATAAAAAATATTAAACTATAATTACTCATTTAACAAATTTTGATGCGTGTAGATTATATTTTATGACACAAAAAATCTCTTTTATACTTAAACAAGGGGCTCGCCTCTTTTCTTAAAAAAAATTTTTTTCCGTTACATTCATATGATACTTCTGGTTTTGTTTTCACAAACCATGGCCATATGTTGGATAATATTAAAAAGATTTTCTTAAATACGACAATAAAATTCACGAAGGTACACCTTTTTAAGAAATAATAACAAAGTGACCATAATTATAATAATACTGTACCCGTTATTTAATAATAATAAAGACTAATCTTTTACAACATATAATATTTAGAATACATACCTCCTTTGATATCTTTATAACATATAATAGAAATTTCCATAAGTACATTATTTAAAACTTCTCCAAGGTGCTTTTGTTATTACAAACTTTTATTTTAGGATAACTGCAATTATAGTAACTATTTTATAGGCTATTTGCAATGATAATGAGAATTGTTTAACAAATTATGAAAAAAATACATAATTTTATAATATATTTCCTTCCATTCATTTGCAATACATTACTCTGAAGTTATTTTTTTACTGTCGCACTCTCTACCATATTATACTACTGTTGATCAATTTGCATACTGTTTGAAATATTAACTAAATTTTCACTATTAGATTTTATAATTTCAATATGTTCTTTAAATTTGCATTTGTACATATCTTTTTCTGAATGGAGTATTTTTATATTGTTTCCATCAATCTGACAATTACTATTTTTGATGTGGTTGAACAACGGTGAATTATTATGTTTTAATCTTATAGCTGCTTCATGTTCTTTAATTCTTAATTCTAACATCCTACTAGTTTCACCTATATAATTTTTTGGGTTTTGACAATTACAATTAATTTTATAAACAACACTTTTTTTTTTTTTTTTTTTTAATTTATTAACATTGGCTTTGTATTTTTTCTCATCCCCACTATAAACGTTATGTGAAATTTTATTGGTCAAAGATGGGGCCAAAACAATATTTTTTTTTTTTTTAGGATCTTGCTGCAGTCATTAAAAATATTATTAATATAGGGAAATGCTTTATATTTTTTGTCTTTTTTATATTTAGTATTAAATCTGTTTTTATAATACTGTTTGTGCCAAAGTTTTAGATTATTCATGACGTAATCATTCAATATAAACTTATTGTCTAATTCTTTTAATTCCATTTGTGACCAGTGGGTCTTAGTCTTTGTCAGCACTGACACCAGTGTAACCTCTGTCAGGATGAGAGGGTTACAGTTGTTATGCAAGCGGTCGCAGATGCAGTTGTTTGGGCGGATGGAGTGAGAGACAGTGCACCAGAAGTGACTAACACAGAGACTCGGTTAACATAACAAAAGTTTAATGGGTACCGATACACTATACATCTTTTACATTTAAGGTTAATTAAGTTCTTTTGATGGTATAATACGTGAACGAGAGAGAGAGAGTTTACAATTGCTGCATGGTGATAATTACCTTGAGGTTGGGTAAGTCTTTATGAGGTTCAACAGTTCTGAATTGGCGACGTCAGTAATAATTCCAATAAAAGGCACTTAGTTTGTTGGGTTTCTGATGAAATAATCCAAAGGGCTGGCACTTAAGACATTCGTAAGTTGATGGTTTGTAGGTAAATCCAAGAATATGCACTGAGCGATGAGTTGAAACAAAAACCTTCTAAGGATCAGGTGAAGACGGTAACACATAGAAAGAATGGCGACGACTGCAACAAAAATTGGTTTGTAGCTATATTCATTTGACAACTTTGCAATAATAAGTCGGAAGGTTATGTGAAAGTGTCCTTTTGCAACTCAGAACTTGCTGAGTAATTAACTCCCAGGTGTAAAATTTGATACTTAATTGATAAAATAGTATTGTTAAGGATTTAGGTCAGGCTGTAAGTTAGTAAACAAGGCTGAGTCTCACACATTTTTTGTTCTCTATTATTAGTAGTTCTTGTATATATATTTTCTAAAGCCATCATGTATGTATTCTTTTTTATAGTGTCAGGAATACTAGAGTAATAGTTGATGGTTTTATTTACATTACATATTTTTTTATATGTTTTAAATGAGAATTTATCAATATCATTAGTTATTGTAATATCTAAAAAATTTATTTGATTCGGTTTTTCTAATTCACAATCAAATTTTATATTTTTATCTATATTATTTATTATATTTAATATTGTTTTATCATTTGTTATTTTATTATTATAAATTAATAAATAGTCAAGTACATATCTCATCACACTCTTTACACCAGGGATATCTTGTATTTTTTCATCTATGTTTTTTATTACCAATTTGGCTAGTTTTGGCAAGAAGTACCTAATCTGATGGCTGTGTGATAGTCTACCAAAATTATATTTATTTGGATTAAAGAGACAGACATTTACGGAAACATGTTTCTGTTTCCGTAACATTGTGACTGTGGCACTTAGTTAGGAAACAATTGAAAGAAAAATTACTAAGATGTAATCATTTGTAAACTGGAAATGAAGTGTTTTAGAAAGCTGTATATTGTTTTAACTATGTTGAGAGTTATTAGTTTTTAATTAATATTTATTAATTACAAAAGTTATAAAATTAAATTGTAAAGTATAAAGCTAACTACATGAAAAGTGAGCAAAACATTGGAATTTAAACTTTTCTGATGTTCTATATTGTTTAACATAAGAGGACTACAAGAAAATTTGATAAATATTGACACATTGATGTTTTACAGTTGTTGCATTTTTTTTGTTTTCTATTTATTTACTTATTTAATAAATGAATAAGTGGATTTTTTTTTGACTGTTTGAGAAAAATTATTGTTAAAATCCAGTAGTTTACTGAAATTAAGCTCAAATTGAGTTATAAATTTTGTTATTTTGCACTTGTCACCACACACAATTTGATGTCTGGTATAATAATGATGTTATCATCATTAGTATCCAAGTCTACATTTCATTTAGGCATACTCAAATATTTCAAAGAGAATCTTTGTGATTGGGAATAGATCAAAGTCATAAAGTAAACAATGTTTTTTATCTATATAGATGTTTATCAAATTAGCTGTCATATGTTTATTTATCTATTATCTTCTAAATTCACTACTGTATACAAATAAGTAAACAAAGTATTAATGACCTAGACCCTAGAACAATAATAGTTTAGTTTTTCATTGTAGGTCCTAGAGTGAAAAACTAGACAAATATAAAATATTTGCTCCATGCAAATATTTTATATTTATTCTCTATCTGCACATAACTAATTTTAAATTGTTATTTGTTTGAGGAAGATAAAAAAAAAATAATAGATCAATGGGCTGATCTGTTGTTATTTTATCTTAGTTTTTAAAATATTTCTCATCTCAATTACATGGTAATTTAAAATTAACTAACTTTTTGGATATGATTTAAACATTAATAATTGTTAATGACTAATTCTAACATTAGTTGGATATTGATGAAAACCTTTTTAGACTTTAGTTGTAATATGTATATTTTTAAGTTAATTTTCATATAAAATTAACCTAGAAATAATTTTTTTTAATGAAAATAGTAGTTTGATATATAAATTATATGTTCATATAATTTATATGTAATATCTGGACTAATAAACTTCATTTAATGCAGAGATGTGAAATATTCTTTGGTGAATGCATGCCTCTATTTCTTTTAATAATAATATGAAATTAATGGTAACTTCTTGGTCACTAATTTCTTGACACTTTTTTTNAGTATTAAACTTATATAGTATATTCATATTAATATTAATATATTCACATTTTTCAATTTTTAGTCAATGAAAATTTTCGACTTACTAATCCAAGTGTGAGCACAGATGAAGATTTGCCTCAACCACAAATGTTTGTTGGAAAATTAAAAACATATCAATTAAAAGTAAGTAAGTGTAAATTAAATAATCTGAAATGTTTTTGAATTGTAAAATTTTTCAAACATTTCTTTTAGGGAATGAATTGGTTAAATAATCTTTATGATAAAGGAATTAATGGCATACTTGCTGATGAAATGGGATTAGGAAAAACAGTTCAAACAATTGCTTTTCTTGCAACATTAGTTGAGGTAAAATTATTTGATTCAGATAATTTTTTTAGAGATTATTAGGTTCTTATTTTTTATTTCAATTTCTGTAAATTTATTTACTTTCAGACACAAGGGATTTGGGGACCATTTCTTATCATTGCACCTGCTTCCACTTTACATAATTGGCAACAAGAATTCACAAAATTTGTTCCTAAGTTTAAGGTAAATATTACTATTTATAGTATTGAGAAAAATTTTTCTTGCATTTTAAAAATAATAAATAAATAAATTTGCATATTTGTTTTATCAAAGCAATTGTTCTGGATATTCTAAAAATTTAAATAAGAATGCATATGTATTATTTAAAAATTCTGTTTTAAATTAAGAGAGAACTTCTATCAGATTGGGAGTGTTGATATTTTGTTAATTTGAATTTTATTTGAATATATATTTACTTTGTTATTCTATTGATCTAAAAATTTTAATATTTAATTGCTTACATTCACACTCTTACTTACTTTTTAAATTCTGTTATAGTTTAAAATTCCTGTATTAATGTGTATATATTAGATATTATTTTTGATAATTTGTAAGAATATAATAGATTCAGTTCTCAAAACTGTTTCAAATGCAAAGTAATTGAAATATAGCAAAATGCTGTATTGTCTAATAGATATTAAGTAACTACTACTATCTGACTCATTAACAGATTTACAATATAAATGTTCACTAATTATTTAATGATTTTTTATAGGTTCTTCCCTATTGGGGCAATACCTGTGATCGTAAAATTTTGAGAAAGTTTTGGAATCAGAAAGATCTTCATACATCAAATGCCTCTTTTCATGTTCTTATCACAAGTTATCAACTCGTTGTTCAAGATGTGAAGTATTTTCAGCGGATTAAATGGCAGTATATGGTATTAGATGAGGCTCAAGCAATAAAAAGCACTTCAAGGTATATTTTGTGAAATAACAATTAACAAAATATAATACATACTATTTCTAATAATTACATACTATAATTACAAATTCCAACATTGATGCATAATAATTGTTGATGACTAATTCTAACATTAGTTGGATATTGATGAAAACTTTTTTAGATTTCAATTGTGATATATATATTTTTAAGTTAATTTTCATATAAAATTATATAGTACTATGCATGAGTGTTGGACTTTGTAAAGTATACCATAATTAAAAAATAATAGTAATAAGTAAATAAAGTTTGTATAGTAATATTCTTTAATACAATAAATAAACTGTGTAATCTGGTGCAAGCTATTCTATCTAATGATTTTTTTGCATACTTTAATGCTTTTAAGAAAGATGCTTATGTAAAGATGAATTATTATTTGAGAGTTATAATTTGTAATTTCAAGACAAAATAAGTTAAATGTTATGATTTTTATTTTTGATATCTATAGTTATATATGTGGCTTGTTTAAAAAATATCTGGACTAGTCTAGTCCTGTAGCACAAAGGCAATAGCATGCCAGCTAGCTCAACTTGTTGGCATGTACTGTAAGTAAACATCAATTAAATGGACAAAATTAACATCCTGTTAATCTTAAAATGTTTAAAATGCTTCTTATATGTAATTAAATTAATGGGTTATTATATTTTAATTTTTTATCAAATCCAAGAGTTTTTATTTTATGCCACAATGGGAGTGTCTCAATATACAGTGGAACCCCATTTATCTGGTTCAAATGGTACCGGGATCAAGCCAGAAAATTCATTAAAGACATAAATGACACGGTTTAGATGTACAGTACATTATATTATATTTATTGCTCATTATATATACTTTTACAACAATATTAACAGTATAAAGCAAAAGTCATATCTGCATACAGTATCAGTTTATTGTATTCTATGAGTTGGTACAGTACATGTACATAAGTTTCCTGATCATTTGTGTGGGATAGAACTTCTCTTTATGATCTTTTTCAAGGCCAGCCGGTAATTAGGTGTAGTGCTCCATAGAGAAACCAAAGGACTAATTTGAACTGAAGTAATTGTGATTTACTGTATTTATTTTTGTTACAAGATCCTTGGTTATAAAGTTGAAAGTGTTCAAAATTGGCATTGAGCCAGGGGAAAATGGTATTCTTACAGCTGCAACATTATAGTCAGGCAAGAATGTACTACTAACAAGTTAGTTCTTTGATTTTTTTACATAGGTTTTTTGTATGTCTATCTTCATTATTCTAGATAAATGGAGTTCCACTGTATCATTATTTGAAGACAATAAAAAGAAAATTGTTTTGTGTTTTTGTCAAATTTAAATGTTTGTTTTCTTTCTTAAGAGCATTATTTATTTGTCTAGTTAAATACAATTAAAGTATATTTTCCAAAAAATGTTTGTTTATTTCAATTTAGATCATATACTGGTTTATTACAATCCCAGAACTACAATGAAAACATAAGCAATAATACATGTAGAAAATTTTTTTAGGGAAATTTAACTTTACATGCATGCATAATTTTAATTACACAAATGTATCTACATAAGTCAAAACAGATAATCTAATTTGCAATTTTTAACACACTTTTGAAAAACTACTTTATTATATAATAATGGACTTTTAGCTGTAATGGATATACCTTGCCCATACTAATCCATTAAATCAAGGTTTTACTGGATTAGCATTCAGCTGGCTGGCAGATATGGTAAAAGTTGACATTATGTGGCTTTACAAAGATTTTGAGATATCAGAGTATGTAGTAATGTGTGTACATCAAATTCTACTTTAAAATTGGTAAAACTTCTGAGAAAATGTTTGAATTATTGAAAATAGCTTACAGAAATGGTGCCATGAGTTGTTCACAATTTTTTTGAATGGTTCTATTGCTTGAGAGGGAAGAGAATGTGTCAAAAGTGACTCACATTATGGACAACCCTCCACATTATAGAATGAGGAAATGACTGACAAGTTCAGTAATCTTTAATCAAAGAAGACACAGTCTGTCCAAAAATATTTTTTGAAAACCACTTTTATTCTGTGTCTTCTTTGATTAAATTAAAATTATCATCCGGCGAAATTCTACAAATAAAAATTCAGAAATCTTGTTTAAAATGAGTATTAATTGACTGTGCTGGAGATTCCTGAAGAGGTTAGAATTTTGGTGAGTTTCTATGACATTTTAAAGATTTGATTTGAACATGATCTGCATCTCTGCAAAGTTTGTGCCATGCTAATAATAGAGGAGCAATGTGAAGACTGCTAGACAATTGCCTCTGATTTGTTTTAGCATTCATGTGATTTGAATTGTTCTTTAAAACAACTCATCACAGGTTATGAATCATGGGTGTATGAATATGATTCAGAGACAAAACAGAAATTCTTAGAAGTCTCTCATCAACATGACCAAAGAAGACATGCCAGGTGCACAGCAAAACAAAAGTTATACTCCTAATTTTCTTTGACTGTGACAGTATTGTCTACCATGGGTATGCTCTATCAGGGAAAACAATCACGAAAACTTCTATATTGAGGTTCTGAGACATTTATGAGAATTCAAATGGGAAAAACAACTAGAAAAATGGAAAGGCGAAGAGTGGGTGTTACACCATGGCAATTTACCTGTTCTCACAGCATTACTTGTGCAAGTTTTTGGCAAAACATGAAACACTGTATTCTCTGGACTAGCAGATAAGCCCGGTGTTGCTTGGGCAAAAAGTAACAATAGCAAAGATTAAGATTATTACATTACAGCCAATCTTACCCATTTTCACAGAATGCAAGAATTAGGTTCCCCTGTTTCCAGACTAATTAGAAAATGTTTAGATGGGTCTAAAATTATGTTCGATTTAATGCAAAAAACTGCATCTGCACCTGTAAATCTTGCATGTTGCTTTCTCTTAACACTTCCATTGTTGAAGCCTGAATCCTGTCACTTTCCCTGCGGGGGGATTTCAAAAAATTCCTTGTTAGTGTGCATTCTTGTGACATACCCTAAAGCCGGATGCACACATGCAACACAGCAGGATGACGTCACTTTTTCTCATCACAGAAGTTGATTTTGTGCCGCAAAAGTTGGTTGAATTTTATCTTTTGCGGCAACCGTCGCCAAGATATGTTTCTATCAGCCAATAACAGTTTGTCTGGTAGTCACGTGAGAAAATACAATCACATGATGTTTTAATGGTGGAAAATTCAACACGGTTGGCCAAGATAACTAACATCAGAATAAAGAGGAAAGATGATAAGTTTTACACAAATTCTACACAAATAATCATATGTAATTTAATTCAAAGAACAAAACAATCAAATCTTACTCAAAATAGTATTCTTTATCGAGGAATAAGCATATTTTGTACACCAGTTCGTTATCAATCCAAGAAAATCTCTCTAATCCAAAATCTTTGTTCAAATTTTCGACAAAATCTTCTAACTAAATAAAGCAAGCCATACAAAACAAAATTTGTAAGCACGTGGATAACGACAATATTGGTATCATTCGCCATCTTGAATACTGAAGGCATGCGCCAAAATGTAAGCGGATTGCCGCCGCGTGGCGAAGATGCGTTTTCGACACCGCTTTTCCTTGTTGCGCTGCATGTGTGCGTCCAGCTTAACTGTGTACCAAATTTCAAGTTTCAACTCCTAACCGTGCTGAAATGCTCATATACACGCACACCATCTATCATAGGATAAATGTACTATGCCAGAAACCTTTGTGGGAGTGTATTAAAAAACTTTCCAAGGTTACATGGCAATCAGATAAATGGTGTAGTAATGCACGAAGGGCAGACAGACAGACAAACAGATAAACATTCATTTTTATATATATGGATTAGCTCCATTGTATGACTTCTTTGTTTCAAGACTGAAGAAAGTTCTCAAAGGTGGCTGATTTGACACTGTCACAGATGTTAAATTTTTAGAGGCACTGATGACCATCTTCGAAGAATTTCACAAATGTTTTCAACAATGACAGGGTGTCGAATTGATCTGGAAACCTAGTAAACCTGGAATCTCAGGAATTATCAGATCAGGGAAAAGTCTTACAAATCTTAGGAAATTTGGTATTAAATCTGGAAAAGGAAAAACATTATTTTTGCAGTGTATAATGCATCATTTAATGGAAAGGGCAAAAAGAATAAGTGAATTGAATGTGCACATTGATGTGTCATGATATGTATGATGATCTAACATTACATCATGCATACTGATTAAATTTAAGTATAATAATTACTAATATTTACTTCAATATTTCAAGAAAGTAAAAAATTTGAATTATGTGGCTTTAAATTGTTTTGTGAAAGAAATCTAGGTTTTTAAATTGTAAATAGCTTATTTTTAAGTGTTGTGCAGGATTCGCTGAAAAGCAGTCGGCAACCTAGCTAGCAGTCAGTTTAAGCACTTACTGAATAAATGGTATGTAGAATCTGTCTACACTTCAGCAATGCTTGCAATTTACAATGATTACAGGGATTGGAACTAATCACTGTTTCAACTAAAAGTCACTTTTTTCATTTACTATTTTTGCAAAGTGTCACTAAAAGTCCTTTTTGGAAAGATGATGATACTGTATTTATTTCTTTATTTCTGTTTTAATGTTTGCCCTTTTCAACTTTTGGAGAAGCTGAGAAATGAAGTATGTATTAAATTTGAAATATAGATGAGGAGCTTGGAAGCAAAACACGTTAAGTGACATTACTATTATTTCTAGTATTATAGCATGTTAAACCTATTAATTGTAATTTGAACAGATTTCACTATGGTTAATTATCTTTATCTCATTTGAGTGTTACCCATCTATTGAACTTTTGTTGATTTTAATAGTGAAATCTATTTAAATTAACAAGTTTTGCATGCTATAAATTTTTAATTTACAGTTACTAGAAAATGAAGATAGATTTCATAATAACAAATATTTATTATTTTTTTTTTTATGAAAACAGTAGTTTGATCAATAATATGTTCATATAATTTATATGTAATATCTGGACTAATAAACTTCATTTAATGCAGAGATGTGAAATATTCTTTGGTGAATGCATGCCTCTATTTCTTTTAATAATAATATGAAATTAATGGTAACTTCTTGGTCACTAATTTCTTGACACTTTTTTTAACTATTTCCTTAACTCATTGAATGCATGTCCATCCGTCTGTGTAATGTTATGCCAAAAACAGGCACTAGAGGTGCCCCTATCCTGTATCATATTTCAAACATTTAAATTAACAATATAAATTATTATTCATTAGGTCAATATAAATATATCAGTATATTTGTAATAGGGATTTATTATTATCATGGAATACCTGTAATGTGCACTAGGGGGCGAATAATGAAAAAATGGATAGGTTTGAATGACTATGATATGACAATAAGGTTTGAAATAGTTTCGAAAACTATATAGGTAATATTTTAATAATAGAAACCATATATTAAGTGCATCAAACATGCCTCGTAGGAATTTGTAATGCTGCTAGAACGTCCACTAAGGGGCATCCCGGGCTACTAGTTACATTAGAAACTCTTGTGGTTGATCGGTGATAAATGGTTCTACAGCTGATAAAATTGCCAAGTAATACATAGATATTTTGCCATCCCCATGAATTAGTGATATAATTAAACTCTATTCCAGACAGCATGACAGGTTTGATTTTTCTGGCTTAGTCTGCCACATCAGTGTGATGACGTGAAAGAACTTGAAACATTTGTGGAGATTATTTTAATTATGTTCCTGGTGATGCTCATTTAGAATATGGATTTTCCATCAACAAAGAATGCTTGATGGAAAACCAAAATAAATAGACATTTGTAGCTTACAGAAAAGGACACTGCTGGCCATTAAAATTGCTACACCATGAATGCAGCACACAACAAATGCTAAATTTGCATGCAAGGTACATGCTGGGATATGCAAATGATTAGTATTTCAATGCATGCTTGCAAAGGCAGTGGAGTAAGGCCACTTACAGTCTGTATAAAAGTGAAGATTGTAAAGCTGGTTTTTCATACAGAAATCACATTTGCATGTTGTTTGCTTGTGTAAAGGTTTTTTTATGCCTTGTGTAAGGAAGAGGAATGCCTACAGAACATCAGGGTTTGATTGTGGTAGAATCGTGGCTTACTGGGACTGTGATTTATCATACCACACTATTGCTGTTTTGCGTGGTTCTGTGTACAGCATCATGATGGCCATTTCTGTATATGGAGCACCTAGGGGAACAATCATTGCCAGTTTGTATTCATCATTGTCATGTGGGTCCAGCACCTGCAGTGATTGTATGGAGTGCCATTGGGTACACATCCCAGTCATCTCTTGTTTTCATAGCTGCTAATTTCAAAAATTTCATATTGTCAGACATTGCTGATGTGTCTACTGTATTTCTAATGAAGTATCTAATGAAATGCCTTTTAGTTACTCTACTTATATACCCACATCAAATGTTCTAGAATATTTTTTCCGGTTATTTGTAGAAAAAGACTTGAAATGTCTAAATTTCACCTTTACAACCTGATAGAAATAATTTTCATTAGAAAAACTAAATGTTAATTTAAGAATACACTTTGATAATTGCTATTTTCATTTTTAAGTTATACAATAATTTTATAATTTATATTAATAGAAATGTATTTAGTAAAGCAAAACTTTAGTTTTAATTTTGAAATTTTACAGCAAGTTTTCTTAAATGCTATTTTTATTATAATTCAATAATAGAAATATACTCATTGTTAAAACTGATGTCAAATAATAATATTTTTTGCATTGCTTTTTCAAACAATTTCGTTAATCCATACAATAATTAACTAACTGAAAATTTTTAAATTTAAAAATGTTAAAAACTAATTTTCTTATTTTATGTAAATTTCCAAGTACAGAATATTAACAATCAAAAATGAATCTGAAAATAAAATAATTTTTCCTAAAAAAATAAATAAAAAGTTTCTGGTTAAATAACATACTAAGATATTTTTAAAAACTCATGTACTTAAATTATACTTTGACATATATATATATAAATGGACGTGTATGTCCCTATATTTCACTTTTCCGCCAAAACTACACATCGCATGTGAATGGTGTTTGTATGTGGTAGTAGCTGCAAGTCTCCATTCGTGCACTGTGGGGGTTGGGTCTCGATAGCTATAAGGGTGCGGGAGATATAGGGCTGAAAGTGGTTTTCTATTTCGAATGTTATGTTCGAATTTGTTCGAATTTAATTTGAACATAAAATTCAAATATTGGTTCAATTATAGAATGATTGTAAACGTTCCAGAAACAATGAAAATAGTTTGTTTGACTGGACGTGAACAGGAGACGTTCAGAAATAGAATCAGGACCAGGTCTCTAATTAGTCTGGAAACGGGGGACCTAATTCTTGCAATTTGTGAAAACGGGTAAGATTGGCTATAATGTAATTATCTTAATCTTCACTATCGTTACTTTTTGCCCACAACTAAAAACCCAGCAAAGCGGTTCCTTGCAGCTAGATTCTAGATTACTTAGAAAAACAGTCTTTTATATATAAAAAACAAAAACTATATTACATACAAATGTACGAACAAATAAAAACCAGTGAAGCAGGTCCTTGCAGCTAGTAATATATAAATATTTTATTGAATTATATATTGACCATTTTGGTCCAATACCTTTTGCCATCTTTCTGGTAGTAACATGATTCCACACTCATAAAAGTTCTGATCTTTGCTTACAAAAAATTGATCCAAGTGACTTTTGACATCCTCATTTGAAGTAATGTTTTATTGTTTAAAAAATTTTGTAAATAATCTGAAGGTGCCAGATCTGATGAATATGGTGGGTTTGGTAGCACATTCTATCCAAGCTGTGACAGTTTGATGAGTTACCAAACTTGTGTGAGGTCTGGCATTATCATGGTGAAACACTACACCTTTTCTGTTAATCAATTCTGTCCTTTTCTATCTGATGGTATCACTCAATTTGTCCCGTTGAATGCAGTACACTTTCAAATCAATTGTGGAATTGTCTGGTAGCAGCTAAAAAATAAAAACAATTTCCTTAAAATCCTACCAAACAGAAAACATCACTTTTTTTTTTTTTTTTTTTAATGAATATCAGCTTTCAAAGTGCTTTGAGCTGACTCATTTCTTCTACTCCATGATCGCTTGCATTCAACATTGTTAATAAACAATCCATTTTTTGTCACCAGTTATGATTTGCTTCAAAAATTCATCATTTTCTTGACATTTGGGAAGCCAATCACAGATGTCAGTGTGACAGAGCAAATCTCTTTTTTTAAGAACATGTGGAACCCATATAGCAAGCTTTGAAATGAAACCAAGTTGTTTCAAGTGATTACAAATTGTTGAATTCAACAAATTTAATCTCTTAGTGATTTCTCATGTTGTTATTCTGTGTTTGCTTCAATGAATACCTTTATTTTACTTCATTAGCTTCAACTGGCCTTCCAGAATGTGGTGCATCTTCAATATCAAAATTGCTGGAAAAAATTTTGTGAACCAGTTTTGGTACTGTTGTTCTGTCAACACATCTTCTCCATACATGTCACACAATTGTTTTCTTGCTTGAACAGCATTCTTACCTTTTTGATAATAAGAAAGCAAAATATGCTAAAAATACTACTTTAGATTTTCCGTATTTGATGGGACACCAAAAAAAACAACTGCAAAAAATCAAATAAAATTTTTACAAATAAACCTTGAAATGTCAGCTGTCAAAATATATAATGACAATACAATTTAGAATGAAATTGGCAGGTAAAAATACAGGTGGTAAAAAAACAAAATTACTTTCTGAACAACCCAATAGAATAATTTTAATGTTTGCAAAATTACTATATTTATTTTAACATAGTTTTGTAAACATTAATTTTTAATTCAGAGTTATTGATTAATTGAAAATAAATTCAGTTCAATTAGAATTTTAAAAAATATTGATAATAAATACACTATACTCTTTTCACATATTGATAATTTTGCATGAGAACTAATATGTATTGCATATTTCTAGTAGTGATGGGTTTATCCAAATGATTCACTCACTCTTTTTTTGGTACATTTTAACATTTAAAAATGAAAAATTACTTAGAGTTACATGAGTTTCTTAGTCTCAAATTAAAATTTGGTCCAAAAAATTATTTTTTGTTTTGTTGGCAAACAGAGATAGAAATATACTGTAAAAATCAATGGCTAATTGAATGAGTTATTTAGGTTGTGTTTTGATCTGTTTCTATGGTGAATAATTTAAAACGTTTTTAATTTTTAAGCATTCTTATTTAAAATTTAAAAAACCTTGATTGTTGTTTCACTTTAATTTATAAAATTATTAATTTAAATATCCTGCTATTAATAATGGAATTTTAAAAATGGTTTGAGGACTTTGATATGTTTATGCTTAATGTGAAAAATATAAAGTGATTACATCATTTTATTATTAAAAACCAAGAATTATCATGAATTTAACTAAAAGAAGGAATTTTATAGATTTGAATGATCATTCTATTATTACAAATGAGTTGAATAAACCTATCATTAGTTTTTAGAATATTAAAATGACTAAAAGCTTTTCTTTTATGTAATTTTTAGTGTACGGTGGAAGATATTATTAGGATTTAATTGTAGAAACAGATTACTTCTATCAGGAACACCAATTCAAAATAGTATGGCTGAGGTATGTTTTATTTTTTCATTACAGTAAAATCTAGTAATTTGCCATTCATTGTATTGTTTTTTTTATAATTTGTAGCTATGGGCTCTATTACATTTTATTATGCCAACATTATTTGATTCTCATGAAGAATTTAATGAATGGTTTTCTAAAGATATTGAAAGTCATGCAGAAAATAAATCAACTATTGATGAAAGTGAGTTTCTACAAATTTAATATAGATTATTTTTTAAGCAATTTATATAATAATAATTTTAAATGTGTTACAAAAGTCATACACCTTAAATAAATTTTTACATATATAAATGTTTACAAAAACTTAAAAAAATTTGAATATTTATTTATAAAAGATGATTTTTTTCCATTGAGATACTTTTAATTTTAATAATCTACAAATAATAGTAAAAATTTGAAGATTTAGAAATTTATTGTTTTGCTATTTTGATGATAATTTTCTTTGAAATGGATTATTATTACTACTTACCTGGCTGTTATACAGAAAGTATGGTAATCCAGCAAAAAATGACTCCCCAAATTTTTACATTTATGAACTTAGATCTTGAAACGTCGAGAAAGGCAAAAAATTCAGGGGTAAAATTTGTATGTATGGATGTTAGTGTGTGATGGGCACAATTTTGTTCACACTGTTTGAAGTTTAATAACTCCTGTGCTTTTTATCAAAAATTTCTGAAATTTCACAGGGAGGTTTTGTGTATTAGAGAGAGTGATGCTATTAAATTTTGGTCATTAATTTAAAGGTCAAGAGGGTTGGGAGATAAAGGAGGTCGTGTGTCTTATCTTGAGTACAGTCAGACTTAATGACAATTTTACTTGTTATTAACATTTACAATTTTTTATAGAACTCGTCCCTACTCTCAAAATTGAGCATTTTGTCATTTTATAATAGTTAAAAATATAACAGGTTTTTTAAATAAAATATGATAACAGTTGGCTCCACCAAAATTTTAAATGTTGCTGGCTTATTTTTCAAAATAAATACAGGTTTGTCACCAAATTTCCAGCAACTGATGGTTCAGCACCACCTTTAATTTGGACAAAGTTACAAGAAGGAACTTGAAATTCCTGAGGCCACTGGACTAGTTTACTGGATAGCCACAGATGGTGTTCTATGTAAAACCTGCTTATTTACATTATTTACATTGCACTTATGGTTATACTGTAATTTCGTGACATTTGTTTATTTTGCTTAAATTTGACCCTAGCTTTGGTTTCTGAGACAGAGATGAGAGTGTCAGTGGTTAATAGTGTCAAATGTAATTTATGTTTAGTATTTATTTAAGTTTCTAATAGTCCATAGTATACTTTAGAAACATGAGAGGTGTATAATTAAGCCTGGTACACACATGCAGAAATGGATGACTAAAACTGTCGACAGAAAAGAGAAAATGACATCACTTTTGCCATCAAAGCTGATAGAATACAAAATTGAGAATTTTCAACTTTTGCCATTGTGGAAAGCAGAACGGTAAAAATTAGATCAACAAGAAGGTTGTGTAGTAGCATCATCATAGAACATCACATGGGACAATAACATTTAAACTATGGCAGTTGGCAAGGCTAAAGTTTTATTTATACACTGATACACTAAAATATTTCATTTATACACTATATCACTATCTGATTAAAATATCAATGTCAAATAAATGTACTTACTGTGTAAAGTATTCAGAATAGCATAACCATAATTTGGGTCCAAAAGTATTCAATATTCATAACTTCCAATGATTTCAAATAGTTTTCCTATCCAAATTCTTTGGTTTTGTGCTTTTTTATTTGCGATAAGATCATAAGCAAACTTAGAAAGTTTAATTGATATAACAATGCAATTCTGGTCGGCACCATTTTCAAACTACTGGCACATGGCCTATCTACTGTAGTAGCTTGTTTATATTTATGGCTGGCAGATAGCACACTTTTCAATTGTACTGTAATTTCTGCATGTGAGTACCAGGCTTTAGTGGGTTAGAGGTGAATTGATGAATTATTGTTTTATGTCACCATGGTTAGTTCAAAAAAATGGTTAACTTGGCTTGCCAGGTTAACCATTTTTCTGAACTTCACACAAAATTTCCAGTACCAAGGGCACTGGAAATTTTGTGGTGTACCTGTAGTTTCAGTTTTTTTTTGTTCAATTGTTTTACTGCATTTAACATGGAAAGAATTCTATTATAACTGTTTGTTGAATAAAATTTTTAAATAACTCATTGTTTTGTGTTATAACTGAACAAATACTTCATTAATATTATTGAAAATGAAAATTAATATTCGTAACAAATAAAATTATTGAAAACAGTTTTTTAAATTTCATTAACTTTTCAGTATAATGAAATTTGAAAAACTGTTTTCAATAAATTTATTATTCTTATAAAATAACAAAAGCATTTAAAACAAAATTTTCAGCTACCTTTCTACCCATTTGTCTTTTTAATAGTAAATCTTCCATGACAATAATACTTTTAACAGGTCTTATATCTGTAGTGAGCACAGTACAGTGTTATCTGTAGTGAATTTAATGTTTCAGTAGAATTTACAACTGAAATTTTTTTATTGTGGTGAATAAACTGTTTCAATGATGTAATGAGTATTTTAGATGACACACAGCATTATCGTGAAAAACAATTTAATTAAATAAACAAACTTACAGCAGAGAAATGTCTAGAAAAACTACAACTATGAAATAAAATGCCTCATCATTTTTGGTGTCAATAGTACAAGAACATGATGCCCCCTAGTGGCTAACAGAAAATGTAAATTATTTCAACATTTATTTTAGTGTAACAAAAACCTTTTTCACTGAAGGCTGTTATAATGAGATTTTATTTATACATTTAAATTTAAAAATAAAATAATGTTAAATTCTTTTATACTTGAATTTATAACAGTATTTTTCATGTGAATAAACTAATATGTACTAGTATTTCTATTTGAAAATTCAAGTCAGGGGTATGAAAAACATAACAATTTCTATTATTATTCTCAATATGATTTTAAGAAATCACAAATTTTAATTTTATGTCTTAGTTATTTTAATTAAAGATATAAGTAGAAACATACAAAAAAATCTATATATGAAAATGTAATAATCAGTAAAATTTTAACAAAAAATAAAATATTAATATCAATTAAATAATTATATATTAGGATTATAATTTATATAAATTTTGATAATACATACATTTTTATGATATTATCTTATAAAATTATTTGTAACAATTGGTTTGTATAAATTTGTCAAGTTACAGTTTGAAGTCTTATTTTGTAACAAAATCAATTATTTCTTAAATAAGGAAAAAGTTTTCATTGTAAACATATGAAAAAATCTTTGTGGTTGACTACACTTATAATACTATACTTATGGAACTCAAAATCATGTATAAACACAGTGTTTGCAGCATCCGTACCATAAAAATTTTATGGCATAGGTATGCAAACACTGTACTGTGTTTATACACAATTTTGATTTCCATAAGTATGACAATTCATTGATAATAATTGATTATGGCATTCGTGGAAATTGTCCCATTCACTCTGTGTGTCAAATTTGCCCCTCCAAGTTTTTTTGCAAATCTCCACTTTTGAGACCTCCTGAATCAAAAAAAGTATTAAAAAAACACCAAAAAAATTATGTGTGCGCGTAAGTTATTTTCTAAATAAGATCTCATAATAGCTGGGAAAGTTATGCAACTCGTTGCTGGATTTTTTTTAAACATAAAATTTCATTTTTTAACAGTTATAATTTATGTATATTTATTGAAATAAAGAGAAATAAGTATGGAAAATACCATGATAAAAAATTATTTTACCGCTGATTTTGAAAATATTTTAAGAGTATTATTTTTAATGTGTTACATGAATATACATATAAAATTTTGTTTCAGAACATCTTTCTCGATTGCATATGATATTAAAACCTTTCATGTTAAGAAGGATAAAGAAAGATGTTGAAAATGAATTATCAGATAAGGTAAGAATGTGATTTTAATCTAATATTTATACATTTTGAATTTTTATGAATATTTTTATAAGCATCAAGACAATAGGAATAATAGTTCTCTTGTCAGATTTTGTAATTGTCTTTACTTTTTTTATATCAGCTTTCAAACTTTAAAGTTAAAATGGTTAAAGTTATAAATTAAAACAACACTAAGTTGTTTTAATTTATAACCATTTAAGCAAAAATGTTTATTTGTGAATCATGATTTTTTTTTACCTTATTTGTGTTAGAATTCTATATATTTGTATAATAACATGCAGAAAAAATTATTATAAATATGATTTAAAACTGGTAAAAATTTAACACTTAGTAATGTAAAATATAAGTTTTTTAAGTATATTTTAAAATACATTTATATTATACATATTATATACATTTTATATTACAATTTAAATTAATTAATATTGACTGATTGTTGATAGCTAAAGTGATTACTGATTTAAAATAAAAATAAGTACATAAGATATCAGACTATTAGAAAATTTATATAATAATGTCATGTGATGTAAATTTTGAAAATTTTATTCAAGTTTTAAAATTTATTTTTAGTTAAGTCTTTATTTGAGCCTCTGAAATATTATTCAGTAGTTAAATGAAAATATTCATGATTACTAGTGATGCAACAAATAGGATATTCAACTATTCGGCTTAATTAATGCACTACAAAAATTGGCGTGCAAACCGCATTATGGCAAGGATCATGCACCCTATTCTCTATTGGCCCACTGTCACTATGCTTTGCCAATCACGTTAATTCTTGACAGTTGTAGCAGACAGACATGAGCGTCATGGCAATGTGATAAGTGATGATATCAAATGTGGATAACAATGAAATGACCTACAAGTGTAAATAATGGAAAAAGAACAGAGAAGGACTGTGAAGTGAAAATAAATATGAAATTGAGTTGATAATATAATCCAACCAGTCAAGGCAGCTTATTGGCGTGAAATTTGCGGCCGTCAATGCCAAATAATTGTTCTCATAGACTTCAGAAAGCTAAATGCTTGTAATGAAAGTCACTTAGCATGCACGGGCGAAAGCCTGGGGCCGTTCAGGCTATCAAGCTGTCTGGAACTTCAGTTACGATAAATAATTTTCTACAATGAAACAAAAATGTTAATTTAATTTTCAAGTTTATAAAAAGGGGTGATTTCATAAAAATGCTTTACAGATCATAAATTTTTTTTTCACATTTTATGACCTAAGTTTCGATCTTATGTGCCCATGCAGTAAAAATTTTCAAACAAATTTTTTATCCTTTTTCACACCTTTAGGGTTGAATTTCATATAATATTTTCTTAGCACACCTAAACTTTTCAAAAGGAACACACCCTCAAATTTTTAAGTTTCTAGCACCAGTAGTTTTGGCTCTGTGTTAATTATCCTATCAGGACTTGTTCTTTTATATGCAAGTATATAGATGACTAAACTACATAATAAGTAGGTAGTTTTCATTTGATTTGTTACCTTTTTTTGATCTCTTAAAAAAATAACTAAGTTATATTGCTTTTCCTTTGATCTTTTACATAAAAAAGCAAAAAATTGCACTTTTTCAAATTTGAAATGTATGTTCACCATTAATAAAAGTTACCAAAATGATTAATTTACTGTTTTTTTTGTCATTTCTTACTCCTTTTCTAGGTATTCGGTATTCAGCCAAATAGTGATTACATATTCGGTATTTGGTCGAATACCGAATAGTAACCGAATATTTGTTGCATCATTAATGATTACCTAAGCAAAATTAGAGTAGATGGAAGTAATAGATGAGATGATTTCACACTGTTTCTTTCTGATCTTAAAATATAATTTTAACATGAATTGCATACCATCAAAATAAAATCAAATAGACTAAAGATTCTTTTTTCTTCTTTGAGTGGGGATTGTGTTCTGATTCTGTAACCTGATGGGATTAGTTTTTTTATTTTTTCAAACTCTGACAAATCTTTGGATAAGATTTTTACTCAAGTTTTGTCTGGTCTGAATGCTTGAGTTTCATTATTATTTTTCTCTTGAGATCCTGCCTACCCTGCTTCTCTCTTGTAAAGGAAGGCTTTGAGAGGTTGAAGGTCAGACTACCTGTATTCAGGTCTGGCTACAAAACCTTCCTGGATCAAATTGTCACATTATCATCATTCTCTACATTTAGAGACATTTTTTATCATTGAATGTGGTGGGTCTTTATGGTTAACTGTCAACTTCCCTCTTACTATGACTCACACAGATTTTCTTTACAAATAGCATTACTAAGTATTTAATATAATGTTTCATAGTGTTTCTTGATTTTGTTGTGCTGTTACATGATTTATTATAATTTTTAATATTTCTATGAGAATACGACCGAGGGGTCAGAGCTCTCTAATCATTGAGTTGGTAAAACTCACCACATTGTCTTTGGGATGGCTTTCTATCCAGTGGCAAGGGGGTTGAGAAAGTTGACGGGTGTCTGTGCGAGCAATGATAGACAGGTTCACAGGTTAAACAAACAAATAAGGAGTTTATTATATAACTAATTTAATTTACTGGAGTATACATAAGGAAGTTATTGATTAATGCGTAGATGTGTATAACACGTAAATCTATCTATAACAGCGATCTAACTAGTAACTATGCTGTGTGTCTAACCTCTAGAGTGAGAGAGTTTACAAAGGTTACTGCACTCAGGTATACCTTAATATGCTGTTGGATGACGGTATGCAATGATCATTCTGGACTATGGAAGCAGGAACCATCTTATGTCTTCTACCTGCTTCTCCTCAGACAGGACTGGGATGGGAGACACTTGTACTCAGACCTTCCTGGGATGATCACCCTGAACTTCCCGTGATGATCATTTTTACGCAATTGTCATTGGCACTGAGTCAACCAGTTGTTCGTCCTTACGATGACTAATTAGCAGATGCACGATGACTTGCCTTTCTTCCTTCCTATCTTGTTGATGTGTAAGATTCAACATTCGATCTATTTCCGTGGGAACTTGCAAAAACTTTTTTCCATCCTCTAATGTCTACACTTCCTTCGAAAAAGGTCATTAAGGCAGACTCTAATAATCTGAATTTAATTTTTTATGAAACTTGAAGAATCATATCTTCACTTTGTAACTTCAGTAACTATAACAGAACTTTGAGCTCAGAGATTTGCAGACGGGGTTGGAATAAGCCCTGGATCTGTAATGAAACTCCAGAAGAAAAAATTGAAATGTGTCAAGCATGAGAAATAAGATGGCTATGCTATCAGTTTGACTTGATCAATGTACTGATTTGGAAAATGTTTATTGATGAAATCCTGTATATCTGTATGAGGTGGGGTGTGTACAGTCTTGCTGAAAGTGCATGTGTTGTTCTGTGTTGTTATCATTTAACTGTAAAGTGAGAAAATTTTCCAAAATATCCAGTTACATGATATTATTGATTTACTCAAGTACAAAGAAGGGACAATACACTTTATCTATGCTAAGAGCACAAAACACATTGTTTTGGACTGTCACAAACATGTTTAATAGTTGTTTGTGGATTTTTGAAGCTAAAATACTGCAGTTGTGAGTGTTCATTTTACCACAAATAAAATGTTGACTCATTACTGAAGATAATGTTGTCTAGGAATGTCTTGTCATCTTCAATTCAATGCAACATTTCTTCACAGATATCTTGATAAGCTATTTTATCTGTGTCAGTAGTCACTTTCTCAGTTATATTATATATAATAGAGGGAAAGTATGGTGATTGGTCAAAAAATGACCCTCCAAGATTTTTAGATTTTTGGACTCTGGACCTAGAAACCTTGAGAAATGTAAAAAAACAATTTGGGGGTTTTTCTGTACATATGTGTGTGGCATGCTTTTGTTCACCCACTTTGTAGCTTAATAACTCCTATGCCTTTTGTCAAAAATTTCCAAAATTTTGCAAGGAAAACTTTCTTGTATATTAGGTGGATTGATTCTATTAGATTTTTGTTGTTAAAGGTTGATAGGGTGGGGAAAAAAGGAGTTCTCAAGTAGGGGTTGGACTTAATGGCGATTTTACTCATTATTAGCAATTATAATTTTATATAAAACCCATTCCTAAACTCAAAATTAATCTTTTGCCATTTTATAGGGTTGTTTAGAAAGTAATTTCATTTTTATATCACCAAAGGAACTAGTTGTATTTTTACCTGCCAATTTCATTTTAAACCATATTGTCATTATATATTTTGACAGCTGACATTTCAAGGCTTATTTGTAAAAATTTTGTTTGATTCTTTGCAATTGCTTTATTTTTTTATGTCCCATCAAATATAGAAAATCGAAAGCAGCATTTTCGGCATATTTTGCGTTTTTATTATCAAAAAGGTAAGAATGCTGTTCAAGCAAGAAAACAATTATGTTGACAGAACAACAGTGCGAAAACTGGTTCACAAAATTTTCTGGAAGGCCAGTTGATGCTGATGAAGACAAAATAAAGTATTGATTGAAGCAAACTGCTGAATAACAGCACTAGAAATTGCTAAGAAATTAAATTTGTCAATATTAGCATTGTAAAAACACATAAACAGATAATAAAAATATCTTCTTTACTCTCCGTGTCCAATCACCAGGAACAAACTATTCTCCACAGCAGAGACGACCTTTCTTTAGAGACTATGCCTCTGCCAAATTATGTAAAACAGTCTAAAATGTCCACAGGTGATAATCCCTTCACAATTAAAAATATAATTATTCTTTGTAAAATAGGGCTGGCAGAAAAACAGTATTAACATTGTAAAAACATGTAAACACGCCAGCCCTATTTTATAAAGAATAATTATATTTTTAATTGTGAAGGGATTGTCACCTGTGGACATTTTAGACTGTTTTACATAATTTGGCAGTGGCATAGCCTCTAAAAAAAAGGTAGTCTCTGCTGTGGAGAGTAGTTTGTTCCTGGTGATTGGGCATGGAGAGTAAAGAAGATATTTTTATTATCTGTTTACATGCTTTTACAATACTATATTTCCGCCAGCTCTATTTTACAAAAAATAAATTTGTCAAATTGAACCGTTTATGGTCATTTGAAATGACTTGGTTCTGTTTCAAAGCTTAATACATGGATTCCACATGTTATTAAAGAAAGAGATGCTCTCTTTGGTGACAATTCCACAATTGATTTGAAAGTGTACTGCCATCAACAGGACAAATTGAGTGGTACCATCAGACAGAAAAGGCCAGAATTGATCAACAGAAAAGATGTAGTGTTTCACCATGATAATGCCAGACTTCACACAAGTTTGGTAACTTGTCAGAAACTGTTACTGTTTAGATGGAATGTGCTACCACACCCACCATATTTGCCAGATCTGGCACCCTCAGATTATTACTTGTTTCAGTCTTTACTAAATTTTTTAAACAATAAAACATTACTTCAAATGAGGATGTTAAAAATCACTTGAATCAGTTTTTTGTAAGCAAAGATTAAAACTTTAAAGAACGTGGAATTATGCTACTACCAGAATGATGGTCATTATATAATTCAATAAAATATTTATATATTATATGAAAATTAGTTTTTTCCATGCAAAAAACAAAATTACTTTCCGAACAATTTAATATACAGGTAGCCCTCGGTTTACGCCGGTTCAATTTACGCCAATTCACAATAACACCACTGCACAATTTGCGATTTTGCTGTGTAATTCCCGATTTTCCCTATACCAGACTGATTTTCGTTTCAGTGTTGACGTATTTGCCAAGCCGCGACATTGTACATTCATTAAAACAAAGATTTTTATTGAATATATTTATTTTTTCTGTTTAATATTATTGGGTATGTATACATTTGCATTAAATTAATATTAAAATACTAAATGTTTAGGTACCCACGAGTCAAGTTATCAAACTTAATAGTCCAATAAATGGCGTCCGAANTTGAATTTTGAAACTTTGAATTTAATATGTTCTTAATATAAATTTAAACTATAATAACATTGAACTCAGAGAAAATATATTCTATTAAGACTATTTTTGATGGCTTTGAAAAGTTTTCAATCCCAAAATTTTTTAAATCCCAAAAGAAAAATGCCAAAAAATTATGACAGATCTGTCATAATTTTTTGGCATTTTTCTTTTGGGATTTAAAAAATTTTGGGATTGAAAACTTTTCAAAGCCATCAAAAATAGTCTTAATAGAATATATTTTCTCTGAGTTCAATGTTATTATAGTTTAAATTTATATTAAGAACATATTAAATTCAAAGTTTCAAAATTCAAACAAACAGTCAATCAAAATTCTTCTAATAATCACATTAAAACAACAGTGAAAGTGTAATAATTTTTATTTTCATTTCTTTCTTTTAAAGCTACATTATTATTATTAAGGTATAAAGTTGAATGCTGTAATTCAATGATAAATTAATGTTATTTTGCTATAATCAAATGAATTATTTTAAATTTTATCTAATTAATTTAAATACAAAACTTTTTAATTAAATTTTTTACAAACATTTATATAAATAATATAAAAAGTCAAATTAAAAAATGATTACTGAAACAAAAATTATATATAATCATAACTAATGCTATTTATATGGCAATTGTTTATATTTATCTGATTTCAAAAATAAAACTTTTTTTGTTAATTTCTTTAAAATATTCAATTATATTTGAATTAATTTTTTAATACATATTATAACTCTGTATTAGGCACATTACTTAGTTTAATCTATAATGATTACAACAATGCAAGCTATGAATTCTTTCAAAATAGTGTCTTTAAGCTATTAGCAGGAATATAAATAAAAACTAGTCAGAAGAGAGATTAAAAACTATATTGAAAATATTTATAATGATCAATTACTTTTTTATTTAAATTTTTTTTTTTTTTTTTTTTTTTAGCATTACAAATTTGTGTGGTTTTAAGTGCAAAGTTTTATATACATGCCTTTAGTGGTTTCAGGTAAAGTTGTTGTGATGACAGATAAATATATTTGTAGTATACAAAAGATTTTTTATGTTTTCTGACCTAGCATTAGCAGTTAACATAATTATGAAATTCACGTTTTCAAATTTACTTTTAAGTGTAGTTACCCTTTTGTTATTCACAAGAAATTATAGCAAAACATTATCAATACTTAAACACAACAACAGATCTGATAAGTTTTTTTTTTCTTAAATAACTTTATAATTTGAATTTTAATTTAAAGACAAAAACATGCTGCCAAATGTATCTGGAAAGTACAGTACATAACAATAAAAGAGAAAATATTCATCTACATTGAAATGTAGGAAATATGATAAAATGAAACTAAGAAATAGTTTTTAGTGGCTATAATAAAAATGCACATATATTTAATTTATTGCTTTTTACTAAGTGAAACTAATAATCATACAATAAGGAGAATATTTTCTTTTTATTATTATTTTCATATTTCTGCTTCTGAATATGAGTATGTAGTAGTGAAAGCATTGGATTTTTTGGGCTGCAATTTGAAAAAATTGTAGACCTTTAAATTTTCATTGTCGTCTATTCATCTGTCTGTCTCTTTCCTCGACCTCAAGAATGGAGTTAGATAGATGAAAGACAAGACCAGTTATGGATACCTTAGAGGCAGGAGACCCTGATTAACTATATATGAATGTTTGATACAAACTGGAAAGTCATGTTATTTCAATTCAAAAATTTTTCCCTGAAAGGTGTTAGATAGATAACTGGCATAACTCTATTGTTAAAGGAAAAGTATGATGTACTGTACTGTACTGTACCATGTACATGGGCAAGCCACTATTAATTTGAAGTGGAGAGCATATATTTTAAATTAAATAAATTTAAAAAATATGATTAAAAATTTCAGCTTGGCATTGTGATGATGTCACAATAAATAATTGCTGTTGTAAATTAGTTTTCTTCATTAAAGTATTTTGTTAAAATTTTATGTCAGTGTTTTAGTTATTTATGGTTTAACTAATTAAAAACATTTATTCATTTTATTTCAGATTGAAATTTTAATGTATTGTCAGTTGACTCAACGTCAAAAAATATTATATCAAGCTCTAAAGAACAAAATTTCTATTGAAGATCTGATTCAGTCACCATCATCATCTCAAACCCAAACATCTACTTCAAATCTTATGAATTTAGTTATGCAGCTACGTAAAGTAAGTTTATTATAAAGCATGAAATTATACTATTTTTATTTTTTGTAATTTTGTAAACTATTATTAATTATGGGATTATATATTTCTAAAAAAGGAGTTTAAATGTGCAGAAAACATGTATGAGTCTTGAGAATATAGAAAAATTGAATTTTAATTTAAAGACGAAAACATGCTGCCAAATGTATCTGGAAAGTACAGTACATAACAATAAAAGAGAAAATATTCATTTACATTGAAATGTAGGAAATAGTTTTTAGTGGCTATAATAAAAATTCACATATATTTAATTTATTGCTTTTTACTAAGTGAAACTAATAATCATATAATAAGGAGAATATTTTCTTTTTATTGTAATGTTCATAATTTTCTTGATGTAAAGCAAAATTACATTTTATAAAGGATTAGTCCTACTTATTTTTTATTTTAGGTATGTAATCATCCTGATCTGTTTGAAAGAAGAGAAGCCAAATCTTCTTTTTTTATGAAAATGGTTCCTTATATTATGCCTCAGTTATTATTTAGAGAAGGTAAGAATTTGAACTTTAAATTATCAAGTTTCTTGAAAAATTAGCTAATTTAATTGAAATTTATTTTAATAGAATCCTATTTTTTATTTCAAAGTTTGAAAATTTATATATTAACTGATTCAGAATAACTCAAATTTGATGTGTGTTTTCAAATAGAAATCATATCTTAAAATGTATAGATTTATCTTACTCTTTATGTTATTTTAATTGTTGAACATTTATTTATTTTTTTTTAAAGGCTTTTTGACTTTGAATGATGCAAGCAAGAAAAAATTGTTAATGTACACATGGAATATATTTCACCCAAAATATATACATCATTTGTTGTTTCCTCCTGATTCATCTAGTGAGCTTTTTATCATTATTAAATTGTATATTATTGTAATGTGTATGCTGATTATACAATGTGGCAATAGCAAAATTAAATATATTTTATTTTAAAAATTGTTTCAGATATCATTCATCATAAAGATTGTTGTTTTTCATTCATAAGATTCATAAACATTTCACCTTCAGAATTATCCAATATAGCATTAAAAGGTCTGCTTCCAAGGTAAATTTTTTTTAATTATATGTTTTTCTTTATGCTTAAAGATATAGATTTTAATAATTTTAAATTCATTTATATGAATTATATTTAGTTAATAAAATATTTCAATCTGAAATAGAATTTATAACATTTTAACTAATTCACTTAAGATTTCATTTGTAATTTTCATTATTTTTTTCCTTCCAGATGGTTATCTTTATATTTATTTTGGAAAACTGCATTTAGGATTTTTTATAAGGAAATTTGGAATGAAAATCATTTATCCTCCTGGTGAGTTTTCGTATTAAAATATAAAAATATTTAATTTAATAAAAAAATTAATTCAGATTGATACCTTATTTTTTCAGAATATGGTAATTTTATATCTTAATGACTAAGCCTTAATTATTGTCACTTTTTCTAAATTTGGAAAAACGATGACAATTAATAAATATATAAGTTGTAAAGAAACGTTTCATAGTTTTTCTAACTAGATATCATTAGAATTTTATAATTATAATTATTAAAATACAGTAAGACCCCATTTAACGTGGGGGATGCATTCCTAGACGACAAAGTGTTAAATGAGGTCATCTTAACATAAAGTAAATAGGGAAAGGGGAACACGTGACCTAAAATAAACAAATTTGACTTTAATTTTAAGTTATTTTTATATTAATTTGCATAATAATAATATATGTTAAATAACACAAACATATGCACACAGAAATGTAAAGTTCATTTTTTTGTGATGAAGGTCCTGGCTCTTCTGAAATTCTTATTTTTTGCAATAAAGTCATGTAGTTTCATTTGTCACTTTTGGGTTCTTTGTTTTCAAAATCTCTATTTTTCAGTTCTACTTGAATTCCTTGTTCTGCCAGTTCTTGAAGGTTGTCGTTAGTTAGGCTCTCACCAGAAACCTGCAGTAACTGCTCAATATCCTGCTCATCTACATCTCCTAGTCCTTCTGTATCAATTAGGTTGACAATTTGGTCAACCTAATGATACAGCAAAAGGCTCTTCTCGTTGAGAATTCTTGGATACTTTTAGCCATAACTTCTTCCACACTTTGTTCCTGCAGTTATCAGTTAATTCTCGCAAACGAAGTCAGTATTGTCTATGGCATCCATGATGTTATATTTATTTCCAAAATTGCACAAAACAAATATAGAGTTAAGGGAAGTCCAGTGCTGTGACGATTTGCCACTTTTTGCTGATTGGTTTGTGTTCGGGAATAATCGTATTATATACGAATCAATGAAATGCCACAATAATTTGAATCAGAGTAAATTTTGAGCTTTTTTTTAGGCTTAGAGCAGACCGTGTTATATTGAATCAGCATTAAGCTGGGTCTTACTGTAAATACTACTTTAATTATAATTATTTAATTTAATAAGAGACGGCACCTAACATCTGCCTGTAATGCCAAATTACTTGGTATTTAATTATTAATAGCAGTAATGTAGCCTGATTTAATCTGGTAATTGTTTGGCTTTAGTATAATCATTGGGCTTTGAAATGTTTGTATATGTATAGAGACTTGATGTCTAAATAATTAAATTTAGAGGTATTCATGTAAGTATTTTTTAGCCAGCTTGCTATGTAGGTAACTCTATTTATTAATTTTTTTAGAAACTAATATTTTATTTTATTTTTTAATTTTAATATTTAAACCAAATAACTATATTCGAAATATCAATTTGATATATGTATATGAAATTAAAATACAGTCAACCCCCCATAACATGGTAGATATGTTCTGGTTTTTATGAATCCATTTTCTACGAGTCCAGCCAATCACAGTCTGGCACGTATGCAGTTTACAAACTACGGCTGTTTGAAAGGTTTCTTCCATAAAATTAATCGATTCTAGACTAATTTAACACAACATTTCCAAAATACGTATAAGTTTTTGGGAATAATCCATATAAACTATGCTATAAACAAAAAATTGTAGGATTACTTACCGAGTGTGCACCATTCAACTACGTCATTGCTTAAGCTTGTTTTCGTTGTAGAGCTTGTCATCAAATGGCACTCGCGTGCTTCCTGATAAATTATTTTTTTNCGGGATGCATTCCTAGACGACAAAGTGTTAAATGAGGTCATCTTAACATAAAGTAAATAGGGAAAGGGGAACACGTGACCTAAAATAAACAAATTTGACTTTAATTTTAAGTTATTTTTATATTAATTTGCATAATAATAATATATGTTAAATAACACAAACATATGCACACAGAAATGTAAAGTTCATTTTTTTGTGATGAAGGTCCTGGCTCTTCTGAAATTCTTATTTTTTGCAATAAAGTCATGTAGTTTCATTTGTCACTTTTGGGTTCTTTGTTTTCAAAATCTCTATTTTTCAGTTCTACTTGAATTCCTTGTTCTGCCAGTTCTTGAAGGTTGTCGTTAGTTAGGCTCTCACCAGAAACCTGCAGTAACTGCTCAATATCCTGCTCATCTACATCTCCTAGTCCTTCTGTATCAATTAGGTTGACAATTTGGTCAACCTAATGATACAGCAAAAGGCTCTTCTCGTTGAGAATTCTTGGATACTTTTAGCCATAACTTCTTCCACACTTTGTTCCTGCAGTTATCAGTTAATTCTCGCAAACGAAGTCAGTATTGTCTATGGCATCCATGATGTTATATTTATTTCCAAAATTGCACAAAACAAATATAGAGTTAAGGGAAGTCCAGTGCTGTGACGATTTGCCACTTTTTGCTGATTGGTTTGTGTTCGGGAATAATCGTATTATATACGAATCAATGAAATGCCACAATAATTTGAATCAGAGTAAATTTTGAGCTTTTTTTTAGGCTTAGAGCAGACCGTGTTATATTGAATCAGCATTAAGCTGGGTCTTACTGTAAATACTACTTTAATTATAATTATTTAATTTAATAAGAGACGGCACCTAACATCTGCCTGTAATGCCAAATTACTTGGTATTTAATTATTAATAGCAGTAATGTAGCCTGATTTAATCTGGTAATTGTTTGGCTTTAGTATAATCATTGGGCTTTGAAATGTTTGTATATGTATAGAGACTTGATGTCTAAATAATTAAATTTAGAGGTATTCATGTAAGTATTTTTTAGCCAGCTTGCTATGTAGGTAACTCTATTTATTAATTTTTTTAGAAACTAATATTTTATTTTATTTTTTAATTTTAATATTTAAACCAAATAACTATATTCGAAATATCAATTTGATATATGTATATGAAATTAAAATACAGTCAACCCCCCATAACATGGTAGATATGTTCTGGTTTTTATGAATCCATTTTCTACGAGTCCAGCCAATCACAGTCTGGCACGTATGCAGTTTACAAACTACGGCTGTTTGAAAGGTTTCTTCCATAAAATTAATCGATTCTAGACTAATTTAACACAACATTTCCAAAATACGTATAAGTTTTTGGGAATAATCCATATAAACTATGCTATAAACAAAAAATTGTAGGATTACTTACCGAGTGTGCACCATTCAACTACGTCATTGCTTAAGCTTGTTTTCGTTGTAGAGCTTGTCATCAAATGGCACTCGCGTGCTTCCTGATAAATTATTTTTTTTTGCGAAAAATTCGCTGAACTTTGGAGACATCATTAATATAAATATAATTTTTATGGACATTAAATAATAAATGGTTTTTAGTAGGTCTGCTGCTCGTTTAAACTCAACAGTTTGTGCAATATCCGCTATTGGTCTAGATTCAACCAATCCTGTTGTGACACGAGTCGGTGATGACGTTTTACCAAATTATAGGAGTTTTTTAGCATGTTTGTATGAATACTGTCGCAATTTTTTCACTGTGATATAGGAATTCGAACTATAGGAGACCGTGTTATAGGGGGGTCAACTGTAAAGATATACAAAACACTAGATAAGTTATTATTTTTCATGTAAATAAAAAAGTCTTTTAATGAGAAGTTAATCTTGAAAAAACCATGTGTGCATATTACAGGCAAAGATTTTTTTATACATTTATACAAGGTTTTAGTTGTATAATATATAAATTTTAAAATGTTTAATCTGTTTTACACATATATAACATCACTAACCTTTTTTTTATTTGAATGTAAGTTTTCTTGAGTAAATAAAGTATCTTGATACTGTCGTGAAAAATTCTGAATATACTATCTCTAACATCAAGGTCAATTAGGATTACAATTATTGTATTTACCAATGATTTTTGATTTTAGTATTTAAATTTGTATATTTAGCAAATACTATACTATCATATAATTTTCAAGAATTTGTATTAATATTTAGCTTACTGCTATGAATCGTCTTGATTATAAGAGTTGTTTTTGTTAGCACAGCTTGTAAGTATTATTTTTCTGACATCGAGATTTTTTAAATTATACACTTACAATCAGGAAATGTAGCTTGTATTTTTCAGCTAGTTTCTACTAAGTGATTTTATTCACACTTCAAACCTGTATGTATTATTTGTGTAGATTGTACAAGTGAAGAGCTAAGCCAAAAGCAATTTAACCTAAAAGATTTATTGTTCATGCCATGAGAAATTACTTCAGAACTCTTTTTCTTTTAAAAAAGATTGTGGATCTCAAGGAGTTCTGGTAGACATCACTACGGTTCAAAAAGAAACCCAGATGAACAAGTCTACTCTAAGCAAAGATATGCATACTCCTCTGCATCTCACATAAATGAGATGCAGAGGAGTTTCCTCAGTAGTTCTACAGAAGTGGCAAAAGGCTGGTGAGGAATGTACAAATGTTTGCAAAACTGATCATGATATCAACCAAGAAGCAAACATGATTTTTTCCAAAATCTAGAAATTTCATAATTAAGAAGCTAGCAAGAAATTAGCAAAAATGCCTTATTCTGTGTTAGACCAAGAGTTAGCCTTTACTACTTTAACTGGAAATAGCCAAATCTTTGACAGCTCTAGAAAAAGTAGTAGAAAAAATACTAAGAGCTGAGAATAGTGTGGTAAGAAGCTTCCTGCTTGGCCAATAGATTAGCATTTGTATTGCTGACAATTCCTTCATGTCTTCATAATTAGAAATGATGAATGAGAACTTGATTTCTAATGATAGAGTATGCCAAATTAAAAATAAATGTAGTAACAAGGAGAGTTTTTTTTTATTTCTTGCTGTTTTAAACTTTTCCCAAAAATTAAGAGAAATGTTTGGATTATGAGAAATAATTATATTATTATTAAAATTTTTAAGAATTTAATTATCATAATTAAATTATATTTATATTCTTATTTACAGTAAAATGGATCGTTATGGACTACTACTAACACCATTGCAGTTCTCAATCTGCTCTAGACTTGAAAACAGTGCCTTAAACTTATTTGTGTTTACTGAATATTGTACTTCTGTTTATACCATAAATTCTTACATTCTTCATTGCATGCCAGAGACACCACAGCATCGAGAAATGAGGCATCAAAAATTAATCAATAAGTCTCACATCATGTCAGCTACTTTAAATAGTTCATCTGTGCCTACAATACCAAAAGTAATTCTTTAACTTTTTCATAGACACATTTATTTAATAGAATAATTTAATTTGTTTTGAACTTTTAAACTACAACACAATCATTACTTACAAGTTTAGGTTGTAAGTATATGATTTTGTATTTTTAATATTGGAAATATTTTTTTAAACAATCTGAGTTTGATTTTTAACTAAGTGGACATAGTTTATTAATAAAATTGCAATGCCATTCTTTACACAACTTCAAAAACAATAATTGTGGTATATAAACTAAATAAGAAAGAATAATAATTAAAAAACAAAAGATAGAAATTATTTTTTGTTTATTTTTAAGTACTAAAAACATTTTTCTACAGAAACTTCAGAGTCCTCCTCATACGAATACAACCGTCCCAACTTTTCCTCGTGTTAAAAGACCATCTAAACTTATCAGTTTTCAACCGATTTCTCTGCCTTCATTTTTAACTGATATTTGTCCAAAGGTATACATTTATATATTATTAGTAAATTTTATAAATAGAATAAATAAAGTAATAAAAAACAAATGTGTTAATTTTTTTAGGTACAAGTGCTACCCTGGATTTGGTACTGTAATGATATCAATGCTGTTCGGTGGCAAGTTCAGCAATACTTTTTTGGAGATTTAGACTTGTATGGGTTACTTTTATATGGCTATCCAGGTGCCACACCATTACATTTTAAATATAAAAAGCATTGGTTTAAATCTGCTTCATGTAATGGAATAATAGATTATCGACCAAATTCTGGGTGGTCACATATTGTTATTCCATGTAAGTGTTTTAAAAAATAAACCTAAATCAGAATTTAGATTATATTAATAATTTTTTTAAACAAATTCCTTATTAATATTAAATAAATTTTTTTCACAGATAAAGAGTTACTTGTAACAGATTCTGGAAAATTGCAAGTTCTAGATAAATTATTGAAAAAATTAAAATTGGAAGGACATAGAGTGTTAATTTATTCTCAAATGACAAGAATGATTGACTTGCTAGAGGTATTGTTACAAAATTTATATTCATATATTATTTAATTTTTTACAGTTTAATATAAAATCATCTGAAATATTTATTTTTCAAAATATGTGAAATGAAAAGTGACCCATCAGTATGTGCCTGATCAACAGGTTAGTTATATAGAGTTTTCCATGGTTCAATCCATGTGTATAACAATTAAATAAGGGTCAGTTTCCTATAGAAAGTCCTCCTGAGAGACACCTCCTCTTGGTAGATAGCCTTGTGTGTGTTGTCTTATCCCATCAAGCAAGCAAAAAAAAAAAATTTCCCTTTAAAACTGGGAACATTATTCTGGGGGAAAAAACCAACTAATATTCAAGTAATATGGTAATTCTTATGTAACAAAGTTTTGAAAGACTGTTGAGTTCTTAAAAAAAACTTAATTGATTAAAATGCTGACTTTTTTACAACTCTTGTTGTTGGGCATGTGCATTGTTATTCAAAAAGAAACATTCCTGGAAAAAATGACCATTGTTTAGTGGTTTGTGTGTGTACACATATATGAGTGGTCTTAAAAATCTGTAGCCTCACTATGTAGAAATGATGATGGAAAAAATGTTAGAGTATGATGTTCATTTGGAGGTCCATGTATGTTTTCCAATGGTGATGCAAAGCCCTTATTCCTTTCGAATAAAATTCAAACACTTGGGCAATCTGCCTAGTAGCAGATCACCCAAGTGTTGCGTTGCAATAACTTAAGAAACAAACAAACAATTCACAAATTCTTTAATGATGGTTAACACTTTAGTAATGAACTTTATAATGTATATTGAAGTATGAACACTAACTGAAGAGGGACTATTTATTGTGTCTGAAATGCATTTTGAGTGTTCTTTCTTAAAGAGTTAATTAATGAAAATAGCATTCTGTATACATAGGTTTATTCTGTTTGCTTAATAAATTCCATCAGTTACATGAATTTGGCATATTGTACAGAAATATGTAAGTCTTGGCTAATTTGAAGTCATGATTATTTTGTCCCTTGAATTTCAAATTAATGAGGATTTCCTGTTGCACTTGAAATTATACAAGCAAATTTATAAAACACTTAGTTTCAAAAGTGATCAAATTGCAAAATATGCAATTAAAAATCAAATTCTTTGTTTTAAAAATGCATATAAAACATAAAATATGCCTTATTGAACAACCTTAATTTGATCCACTTGGAACCAAATCATATTTATATCAAGGTTTGAAAATCATGGCATTTAAGGGGAAAACATAATACATACAAATTTAGCCCTTACATATAATAAACTATTCATTATAGTTCTGAAGTATAGTAATTGCATATCAAAGTTATCTTTATGGTGATTGAAATTAATAAATTTATTATCTAGGAGTACATGTGGCATAGAAAACATACTTATATGAGGTTAGATGGTTCTTCAAAAATTGCTGATCGAAGAGATATGGTAGCTGATTTTCAATCAAGGTAAGAAAAAATTTACTAAATTTTACAGTGTTTTAAAATTTTGTATTGAATTAAATTTTTGTATTTTATATAGGTCAGATATATTTGTGTTCTTATTAAGTACAAGAGCAGGTGGTCTTGGAATTAACTTAACAGCTGCTGATACAGTAAGTGAAGTTTATCTTAATACTATTATATGTATTAATAATTTAGTTAACTATGACATCTATGCTTAAGTTTTGATGACTTAATGAATATTTTACATGTTATTGATATATTAATTTTAAAAACTTGTCTCTACCTTTAACATTAAGCTTTTTGCTATTTTATAATAATTAATAAGAAAAATTATTTTTTAATAGTCTCATAACAGATGATGCTATAAACAATTTTTATATTGTACTCATGTTTTTTAGTGTTTTTTAAACTTAAATATTTTTTAAATAGAGAAATTTCTCATAATTAAACAAAATTACTCCTCTTAAGTTTTTGTTGTTAAATAAATTTTATATTGTAATATAATTGAAAATTGTTGGACTTTCTAATGGTCTCCTTTATCTCCTGTTGCAAGTGTCAGGAAAGTCAAGCAAGATCCCTTGTTAGCTTTTTCTACAGTAGCTATCTACATCAGAATCCAATATTTTATTTCAATAAACTTATTCTTGAGTCAAATTCTATGTATTGGTGTAGTTAATTTGTTTCTGTCTGATTGCTTGGGATGGATGTCTATAATGTAAATGGTGTTCACTTAAAATTAAATTCACTAAAAGTTTTTGTGAATTTTTCAGTGTACACTTATCATTCTTGCAATTTTATTAGTATGTGACATTATTTTGTTTATCAATGAATGTGTATCAGCTAATCAGTAGTTTGATACAATTTTATCTATATAGTCCTACCATATTTTTGCAGAATGATGACCAGCATACTGGTTAAACTGCCACTAAAATATAAAATTAAACAAATCTAACAAAACTAGTTGTTAATTAAACATTAAAGAAAATATTCTTCCAAGTACAATAAAATAATAACATTGTAATTTGATTGACTTAGAATCAGGAAGAGCGTTTTCATTTACAAGACAATAAAACAATTTAAACATATAATCCTAGTTTTTGATGTAATGTTGACAGTTTCACAGTTTTATAATAAAAACTTGTTTGTTTTTTTTTAAATACACCCTCTAGAGAGGGATGTATAACTTCACTTAAACCAGCATGCCTGTTTTTACCATACAGGAATATTTGATTTCATAATTTTCTCCAGATAGACCAATGTGCCAGACAATCTGCAAAAATATGGTAAGTGAAACTACAAGAATGTCTATCAAGGAGTTTCTTCTAGGTCCAAAACATCATAACAATGTTTATTTTTATATACATTACACTATATATATAGCTTAATAATGTAATGATTTTGCTGCTAACATTATTGCTTTTTATAATTGTGATGTTTTTTGTTGTTTGAAAAAAAATTCTCATATTATGTTTATTTATTTCCAGTAGAGACTTGTGTTGACAAGACCTTGTTCTTCCTCTAATAGATCTTGAGTGGTGTTATTTATGCTTTGTTAATGTTGTTGTTTTTTCTTTTGAAATCATTTTGGTTTTGAGTCCAGAGTATAATAATTATATATACATTTACTTATTAATTTAACTGTTGTATTCAGGCATACAGTTATACTAAGTTGTTATATTCTTTTGTCAGTCTTTGTTCTCTGTAAGTTTGTCCTGTTGGAGACCTATTATTATTATTATTGTTGTGTTTTGTGAGTTATACTCGGTTCACACCGGTAGCTGTATACTATGCCAGACCAAAGTCAAGGCAAAGCAACCATAACAAAACTAAAATTAAAGTGTGTCAGTGTGTGTGTCTGTATTCAGGAATTTCCTAACAATGTGGCATGTATTCAATATAGTGGCCTTCTGTAGTGTGATGTATGTATTTCTACTCAATTGTGTAAAGTACTATATTATTTTTCCGACTTTTCCAACGATTATCGACACTACTGCGTGCCGGAAATAGCCGTTCCCTAACGGGTACTTTACGCGGATTCGTGTTAGTGTGCCAGGCCTGGACTTTAAGCGTGCACCGAATTAAATAATGACAAAGTTTGTCAATAACAAAAATCAAATATTTAATTAAACTTCTAGTAATAAACTATATACAGTATTTAGTAAAAATCAAACAATAATTTATTCAATGAAATTCAACAAGAATCAACCCGACAAACTCAAATCAATCTATTTCTAACTTAATTCTATTCCCCTTTGGAATTCGACAAAAATCAAAGACTTAACTTATAAACAATATTTCTTATAAATTAAAGATCCTAATCGTCACCTCAATATACTAGGAACCTATTTCCTCAACTCTCAAAGACTTTCTATAAT